CCATATGCAGATCCCTATGCGGATCTCTAGAAGGACCCCTGGAATCCCAATGCGGATCCCCATGCGGATCCCAATGGATTTCCCTCTGCGACCCCCATGCTGATCCGTATCCGGACTTCTGTGCGGATGCCTATTCGGCTTCCCTATTCGGCTTCCCACGCGGATCCCTATTCGACTTATGTGGATCCCTATTCGGCTTCCCACGCGGATCCCTATGCGGACGGCGGCAGTGCCGGGGGCGGCCGGAGCGTTACGTTATGAGGGGGGCGGGGGGGCCACAACGCGCGTTATGGCCCTAGTAATAAAGAAGCACGCTCAGGCACGGGATGGCCAGGTAGAGGAGCGGGATGGGGGTGGCAGAAGAAAAAAACATCCCCCCCTCCCTCCCTCCCTCTGCTCTCCTACCCTCCCCTCCCCTTCCCTCCCTCGCCGTCTCGTCCCCTGCTCTCCCCACCTCTCCTCAATGCTACCCGCTCCCCGCGCCACCCACTCCCCCTCACCACCCCATCCACGCCCCTCCTTCCCTTTTCGCCCTCCCTCCCCCCCATTCCCATCCGCATCCCCACCTCCCTCCCTCTCTCCCTCCCTCCAGCGGAGGAGGAGGAGGAGGAGGAGGAGGAGGAGGAGGAGGGCAACGACGACGGCGAGGAGGCAGACCAAGACGAGAACGGGGAAACGAGGAGGAAGAGGAGGAGGAGGAGGAGGAGAATCTCGAGGCCCCCAGAGGTCTCCCGTAGCCCTAAAAATAACCCAAACCGCGCAGAAACGTTCAACTATCTGGCTGGAGGAGTAGGGAGGAGGAGGAGGAGCAGGAGGAGCAGGAGGAGCAAGAGGAGGAGGAAGAGAAGGAAAAAGAAGAAGAAGAAGAAGAAGAGGAGGGGGAGGAGGGAGAGAAGGAGAAGGAAGGAGAAGAGAACCCAAACCACGGATGGATTGACTTGTTCAACCCGCGGGCCCAAAAGGCCTCGACCCCTCCCCATCAGGGCAACGTTCCGTGCGGGGCCCATGTTTGATCGCCTGGCTGAAGCAGAGGAACGCAAGGACCAGAAACTCGCCTGCGTGGGCCGCACTCGGAACCCGCCCCGCCGCCAGTCCTGGCCCGCCAGACGGCCGCAGACGATGCCGCCCTTGCCCCACGGCTCGCTGTCGCCGTCGGAATCCCGGGCCGGAACTTCGAGGGTCCGATTATTGAGTTCCTCCTCCTCATCCTCCTGCCGTTTGTCGTCCCCTCCTCCTCCTCCTCTTGCTCATCTTGTTTCTCCTCCTCCTCCTCCTCCTCCTCCTCCTACTCCTCCTCCTCCTCCTCCTCCTCCTCCTGCTCCTCCTGCTCCTCCTCCTCTTTCTCCTCCTCCTCCTCCTCCTCCTCCCTCTCCTCCTCCTCCTCCTCCTCCTCCTCCTCCCTCCTCCTCCTCCTCCTCCTCCTCCTCCTCCTCCTCCTCCTCCTCCTCCTCCTCCTCCTCCTCCTCCTCCTCCTCCTCCACATAGCGAGCGACATCATACGGACATCCCACGCTCTCAGGGGCAGCTCACGATTAGCTAGCTACGGTCCCAAGGACCGATCCGCACGGGGGATAATGGAAGAGGAGAGGAATAGAGGGAGAGAGAAAGAGGGAGAGAGAGAGAGAGAGAAAAAGAAGTTTTTTATATATATAAAAAAAAAAAAAAAAAAAAAAAAAAAAAAAAAAAAAAAAAAAAAAAAAACTGGCGAAAGACCCAACCATACGCAGTTGTGACTACCGCAATTGTGAATAACATCGTCGCCCGCGCTCCCGATGTGGCCACAACTTCCCGCCGGAGCCCGACATGCTCAGGGACACGTTCGTGGCCGTCTTCGCGGGCGCCGACGACGACGAGGACGGCGTCCCCCTGACCGACGAGCAGAAGCAGGAGAGGGCTCTGAGAGCCATGAGGGAGGCTGGGGCCTTCGGTGGAGCTCCTATGGGGCCACGATCCTCGTGAGGGGTGTGCAGAAATGCCCCAAGGCCGCCATGCGAACGCTGCCACTGGGGGTCTTCGGTGGAGCTCCCTATAGGGCCACGATCCTCGTGAGAGGTGTGCCGAAATGGCCCGAGACCGCCATGCGAACGCTGCCACTTGGGGTCTTCGGTGGAGCTCCCTATAAGGCCACGATCCTCGTGAGGGGTGTGCCGAAATGGCCCGAGGCCGCCATGCGAACGCTGCCACTAGGGCCTTCGGTGGAGCTCCCTATGGGGCCACGATCCTCGTGAGGAGTGTGCCAACATGGCCCGAGGCCGCCATGCGAACCCTGCCACTGGCGCCTTCGGTGAAGCTCCCTATGGGGCCACGATCCTCGTGAGGGGTGTGCCGAAAGGGCCCGAAGCCGCCGTGCGAACCCTGCAGCTACGATCATCGTGAGGGGTGTGCCGACATGGCCCGAGGCCGCCATGCGAACGCTGCCACTGGGGCCTTCGGTGGAGCTCCCTATGGGGCCACGATCCTCGTGAGGGGTGCCGAAATGGCCCGAGGCCGCCATGCGAAC